TCAGAGAGACGAGCCCTTGTCAGTGCAGACTCATTACTAACCTCAATCGGAACAGTCCTGTGCAGCAATGGGGCAAAAGCCTGACTGGAGCAGTTCAGGAAGTAGCAGGAAACATAGACCCAACACATTTATAGGAGCCTTCTGAAGAATTCTAAGGAAAATAAGAAAACGGGGCAGTGACCGAAGGTAGAAGTGGGCCAGAAGAGGACTTTTGTTTTCTCTGAAGACCAGGGAAAGATCTGCATGAAAGGTCCAATGGAAAGAAAAAGCTGAGGATGCAGGTGACACAATGGCTGGGAAAACGTCCTGGAGTAAGGAAAATGGGAGACGACATGGCGCCGGAGGGAAGGGGCTGGGGCTCAGGCCACGGCTGCACACACATGTTCTGGCTCCAGCCTGACGGCTACCAGTCTGACCCTTGTGTGTCTGCTCACCCTGAAAGTCCACTGGGGATGTGGAGCCCCGCAAAGAGAAAGCTTCACTTAGAAACACAGAAATGCCTTCAGTATTCAGATTTTCTTCAAGGCAAATGTTGTTGAGCTAAAAGATATAATCTGTAATTGGTAGGACTTCCAAGAAAATCACATACATTGGAAATGATCAGTAGATTTGAGTTTGGAATGAAGAAATAAAAGCTAAATTGATTTCCAAGTGCATCACTCAGAACTGTGGAAGGTCTAGCATTCTGGTGTGAGTCTATGAGGGATAAACAGCTACATCTTTCAGCTCCTAGTTAAATCTACTGACATCTCTCAAATAATCTCATTTGTCTGTTAACTATGTCTAATAGCATCTCAGCAAAGTTATCATTGGAACTCCTTTTGAAAAAGTAAGAGTCCAGCTGTACATTTGAGTGGTGAAAACTGTCTTCGTCGGACACAACTTCAACTAGAAGCTGATACATTAGTGCTTCGTGCACGGGTTGGGCGCCCACAATCCATGACCCTGCTTCTGGAACAACTGCTTTAGAGAGGAAGGAAGGTCACCTAGGGGTTGACATGACCCAGAGCTTAATGTAAGGGAAGCAGTAGTATCAGTGGTCTTGGCTCATGGTACAAAGTAGGGCCATGATAAACAGTTCCTAAATTAGCGTTTAAAAACAAGTTCTCTCTACTATCAGAAGTACTGCTTGTCCATCAGAACCTGGACCTTGAATGAGCATTTTGTCAAGGGATGTTATTAAGAAATGAGAGCGGAGCCTGGTGATCTTCTTGTCTAACTCCCAAGCGAGCTGACTTTCAGAGGACAAGTGGTGCACTTTACCGCATTTTAGATGGCAGTTTTGGATAAGAAAAGCTCACTCTTCGGGCCTTTCAAAGGGAAAAAGCTGACCCACAGTTTGCTTTATTTGCTGGGTATTTTTAACTTATACCTCTGCTTTCTATTTTTCATTAATATATCCAGTTTTTACAAAGTTCCTGGCCACCAGAGGCTAAATAAATGCTGGTTTACAAAAGGAATTTCTGCCCTTTAGGTAACAATATGGAGCACTGTATGTGTGTGTGTGTGTGTGTGTGGTTTAAAATGATGAAATGAAATGAAAATTCACATCTATTTCTACTCTTTTCAAAAATGCACTCTAGTAAAATTACAGCAAAGGCATTTTTTAAAGGCAGGAAACTTCAGAGAATGACAACCGCAGAGGTTACTGCTGCAGCAAAGGGTAGAAAACTAAAAGCACGTTGCCTGAAGCCAGTCTGTTTAAGGTGCAGAACGTCTGAAGGGTTAGGGAATTGGAGTTACCAAGAAGCTCTGAGGATGAGGGTGCGGGATTGAACTGAACATAGAGGGTCTGTTGGAAGTCTGTCAAGTGCACAGGTCCAAAGGGCTTTCTTCTGTGCAGAGCATCTAGGCACCTCTCCTCTACGGCCAGGAGAGAGGCAGAGGGCATTCAGTGGGAAAATCAGACCAAAGTAGTTCCCAGCTCTAAGATACCAGAGTGGAAAAAATAGTGGGAAGAGCAAATACTGAAGAGTGAGACCCTTGATTCCCTCTTTCCATTAAGAAAGTGGGCAGCCAGGCATATAGCTTTCTATTCCATTCTAGGCAAGACCTTCATAGATTTCTTTCTAGAAAATCGAGTAAGTCTAGGAGGAAATGCTTTCAGCCAGAGCATGTTACTTCTGGTGTGGTCAAGTTTCCGACCCCAAACCCTACAGTTAGTTTCTCCCACACGCACACAACTTGCAAACAGCTTTTAGAGCCTCACTCCTGAATAGTAAAGTCATGGGCCAGGAGATGATTGGGGAGGCCCCGACATGAAAAACGGAAGCCCAAGTTAACAAATGCAGACTAGGAGAAACTCAGGAAACAGATGGTGCAAACAGAAGAAAGCATCTCATCACTAAGACAAACCCGGTACAATGAACAGAATTAGATATAAAGGTATATATACGGAATGAGACTATATATATTATAATATGTATTATATTGGAAAGAGGGCTGGGAAAGGTGCTAGTAAGAAAAGACAATATTCAAAGAGTAGAGCTTATAGAAATTAAGACTATACATAGTCATGAAGAAAATTTCAGTAGTACTGTATGATATAGTCAAGGGATTTTTTTAAAAAAATCAAAATGACGAAGATAAAAAATAGAGAAGAGGGCAGGGGATTTAGCTCAGTGGTTTTGCTGCCTGCTGCGCAAGCACAAGGACCCGAGTTCGATCCCCGGTACCAAAAAAAAAAAAAAAGAGAGAAGACAAAGTTGAGACACCAGTAGGCAGTTCAGGACTAATAGACTGAGTAGTAAGACTAAAAAGGAAACAAGAAAACAATTATTAATAGAATAATAGGCGGCTACTTCCCCAAACTGGATGACATGAATATCTAGATTGAATGGTCCAGCACAGTGCATAAAAAAGGACTAACACAGGCACATTGCAATAAAATTTCAGAGTTCCAAGGCTAAAGAGGAAAAATTACAATCTTCTGGGAATAAAAGTGGATCAAACACAAAGAATGTGGAAGAGGGCTGGGATTTAGTTCAGTGGTTCCAGTGCCTGCCTCACAAGCACAAGGTCCCAAGTTCGATCCCTGGTACCAAAAAAAAAAAAAGAATTTGGAAGAAAAATCTCCAAATTCTGAAAATTAGTTATTCAGAAAATAGACAACACTAAAGAAATGCCAGCAGAATTCTAAAGGGAAAGATTTCAACTTTGATTTCACAAACTTAAATCAAGTTTCTGGGTAGAATAAAGATTGTTTTAAACACTAAAAAAAAAAAACTGGAAAGGAAAAGCTCACCCCATTACTGCCCTCTTGTTTTCTGGGAGCTAATGGAGGGCATCTGCCATCAAAATAAACCCAAACAGGAAGAGGAGGGTCCAAGAACAGGGAATTCAGCAGCCTCAGAGGAGGAAAGGAAATTCTTAGGGTAATGGTGAAAGTAAGCCCCCAAATGACATAATTCCAGATTAGGGGAAGACAATGAATAGGAGAAGCTGGAGTACTAAGAAGAAGCTGGGGGAGCAGGAGAGGGGAGGGGAGGAGGAGAAAAGAAATGGAGCTTGTTGGTGTCTTTGACCATGCTTTAAGGAAATGTGGTTCTGTGAAAAGTCCCTAGGAAAACTAAACAAACAGTAGGATGAGGCAATTATCAACTGAAAGAAATATAAGAATAATTCTTACAAAAAGCAAACTTAATAACTTATTATGTGCTACTTTGTTAACAGTATTTACATAGTACTCATAAACACCAAACATGAATTTATAGATTGTAATATAGCCATAATATCTAAAATGGGTAAACAGTAAGACACGAATAATAAAGGCATTAAGGTGTATTTCTAAAATACTTCTCTGTGCCCACAGTCTGCCATTGTTGCCGGGGGAGCTGGAGGCCCGTGCACACTGCCTGGGGCCGGATGCTGAGCCCTTCCTCCCTGTCACCAGGCAGGATGCTCACAGGGCAAGATAACCTGGACTGAGGACCTGACTCTTCTGAACAACGCAGTGGGGGTTAAAGTCTACTTTGCGGGAAGCCGCAGGTTCCCTATTAACTTACGCTCCATTATTACAAGAATGCTTTGCTGTTCTTTTCCTGCCGCAGACACCCACCACCCACCTGTGTGTACTCAATAAATAGTGGCAGCCTTGGGGAGCTGTTGTCTTTGCCTGACTGAGGCACTGACCCCCCCGGCCCGAGTTTACCTACAAAATTGTGTCTTTTATCCTTTGAAGTACCCCTCAAGCAGGCAGCTGTGGGGCCTGGCCGGTCCCCAGTAAATACTGAATATTTCTAACTTTTAGGAGGGATGCTGGGTCAGGGAACCACTGTTGTTTTATATCCTTAGAAGATTATTTGGTTTTCATTTTATTTTTTATTTATTGTGGTACTGGTGATTGAATCCAGGGCCTTCACACTGAGCTACAGCCCCAGCCTTTTCTTATTCTTTGTTTTGTGACAGGATCTCACTAAGTCACTAAGTTGCCCAGGCTGGGCTCAAACTTTTAATCCTCCTGCCTCAGCCTCCCAGAGTGCTGGAATTACAGGGGCGGACCACCATTCCAGGTTTTTTAATGGCCTATGTGCTCAGAACACACATAAACCCTAAACTCAAAGTTAAAAATCACGTATGATAAGAATTCTTGTGTTTAGTAGAATAAAGTATGTACATTACATTAAATAGTCTTGATACATCACAGTATTAAAAAATTCCCCAAGATTTTCCAGTTTGTGATATAAAGGTAATGTCATAAACAAAGCAATCAACAAAGACATAAACTTTTACTCAATGTTTTCTAGGAAAATATTTTCTATTAATTGCTAGGGAAGACCTAAAGAAATATTAAAGATAATCCTTATAATCCAGGCATGGTGGTACATGTCTGTAATCCAAGTACTCGGGCAGGCTGAGACAGAAGGATCCCAAGCTGGACAACTTACTGAGATGCTGTCTTAGAATTAAAAATAAAAAGGGGTGGGGATGTAGCTCATTTGAAAGCCTTGGGATCAATAGCCAGTAACACACGCACACACACACTGCCTCCAGAGCCAGTATGATGAACAAATCTGTATTCTCTACTAATTACCCCGGCTGTGGTTCATTTACAGCAGCAAACACAGGCTGGGTTCCGCTACAACGCTCCAGAGACAACCAAGTCCGCAGACAACAGCTAAGTGGATGGCACTCTTGGTCACTTCTGTCTGCCACCTTCTCCTGGCACAATATTCCGCTGGGATTCATTGAGCAGGGTAGAGGTCATCCACATGACAGCTTTGGGCTCATCTGGAATTCTGAGAATCTGTCAGCCACTCTTCTCCTGGAGCAGGGCGGGCAGGCTGGGGTGGAAGCGATATGGGTAATGGAATCTCTTTGTTTCCGTTTAGTGGGAACTCAAAGCCTGTCGATGTTCTGGTAATTGGTGAGCACTGTATCTGACACGGTATCCCCCAGAACACAGTAACCCACCGAGATTATCCTATCCAAATACTTGATCCTATGTGCTTACAATTGTTTGTACAATTTTGCCAATTTTCTCATAAGTGTGAGTGTGCATGCGTGCATGTGTGCATGTGTGTGTGTGTCTGTAACTCAGTTTGGGAGAAATAAATAAAATCCACTAATCTTCCTTATAAATTGAGATTATTTCATGTGCAAAGTGTATTTATCAGCTTTGAATCACTGTAACAAAATACCTGACACAGGCTACTTAAGAAGAAAAGGAGGTTTGTTTGGCTGTTTGAGAGACAGTACGAACGGCATGGTGCATGCCTAGGAAAGGCAGCCCTGGCTGAATCCCCTCTTGGTGCAAGCACCAGTAGCAGGAGCATGTACAGGAGTCTACAAGTGACTACATCTCTATCCCAGAGCAGAGAGAGCTGGGTGGGGCCGGGCTGGCTTGTTTTATAACAAAGAACCCAAGGGAGTCTCGTGGACGGCTTCAAGAGCAAGACCCCAGTGTCCTGACCCTCCTGCTAGTCCTCACCGCTTAGGGGCTGTAGGGCACCACCTGGTTGCCTCCCTGAAACTGAGCCTCCATCATAGGCACCGTGGGGAAGGGTGTGAAATCACATCCAAACCCCCGCACAAGTGCAGTGCTCCTTACCACTGATCGACTAAGCTAAAAGGCAGACAGAAAAAGGAACGCCTGGCTGTGCTGCCCTGGACTGAACGACCCAGTCGATTTTCTGTTGCCAAAGCCCACCGACTCCACAACTGAAACCTTGGCTCTCAATTCATGATTTTTCATCAACTTCACTGAGGTTTAATTTACATGAAACAAACAGAGACATTTGAAGTACAGTCATCCCTCCATATCCATGAGGATTGGCTCTGGGGCCCTTGTGGATAATAAAACCTGTAGATGCTCAGGTCCCTTATATAAAATGGCATGGCATATGCATAAAATCTATGCCTGTCCTTTCCTATACTTCAAATCATCTCCAGATCGCTTATAATAACTAATATAATGTAAATGCTACGGAAATAGTTGTTAAACTGTATTGTTTAGGGACTAGTGACAAGAAAAGTCTGTATCTATTCAGACTGACTATGTCCACAGATGGTCGACTATGTGGATGAGGAACGTATACGCCCTCTTATCCCTGCCCGTCAATATGCAGAACATTTTTGCTGCCCCCTCCCCAACTTCCTTTTGCCCTTTTGCAGTCATTTCTGCTACTTCTTTGTGCTCCCCACTCCAGGAAGTCACTAATGTAATTTAGGGCACCGTAAGTTCATTTTGCATGCCCTAGAATGCGCTATAAATGGAGTTATGGTATATATCGCACGTGTGTCTGGTTCCCTGTGTTCAGTGTGTTTGTGAGATTTGTCCGTGCTATCCTATCACCAGACTGTTCCTTCGAGAAACTGTCCATTCAGCTGCTGATGGATTAGCTCCTGCTTGTGGCTGTCACAACTAAAGCTCCTACAAACATTTATAAGCAAGTCTTTGGCAGACTTATTTTTATTTTTCCTGGGTCTAGACTTAGAAATGCCTTTGTTGGGTCACGTGGCATGTATTTATTTATAAGAAGTTAATGAAATGTTTAGCAAAGTGTTTGTTTTGCACTCACACACATACAGATGTGCACACACACACAGTTAATTTAGACCTTTGGACAAAACGAACTAGGTGACAAGAAGAGACTAGATGCTTTCAAAACAGAAGGAAGTGGCATTAGAGACAGAACTAGAGTGTTAGTATGGGTGGTGTCGGGTACGGGCCTGAGGAGAGCGCAGTGTTGCCAACAGTGACTGCAATTACGGTTTGTAGTAAACTGCTTTCCTCAGCGCAAGCAGACCATCTGGGCTTAAGAGAAAACATTCCTGCCCATGCCACTAGGGAACTGGATCATCTCCTAGGTTAAGTGGCTTTTATTTGGCAACTGAAAGAAAAGTGCTAAGAAAATAGCCACTAAAGAATACTTCTGAGAAATGCCAAGGAAACATTTAGCTTTAATTACCTACCAGGAAATATACAATAACAGAAGCATAACTTTAAAGTTCCCCAGAACTGAGTTCAAATCTTACCTTTGGCATCTCTATGCTTCGTTCCAATCACAGGTCCTTTGCCCTTGAGTTTTAATAAGCTCAAAGTGTAAATCTGTTTCTTAATTTCCAAGATTATAAATCAAGGAAAATATCCTGCAGATGGGACCACAGTGGAGGTAAGGCAAGAGGCCAATGTCTAAACAATTTTGAATCTTTTAGTAAATGACCTAATCTTTGCCAGAAAACAAATTCTGCTGGGTGGGACAGCACAAAGAGAACAACTGAATTATCTCAACACTGTGAGCATCATCTTAAAAAATGTTATAGTTGTTTAATAGATTTTTCAGAGTCTGTATCATGACATGTCCTGTTTTGTAGATTAGATTATGTGAAAAGTGAATAAAAGAATCATGGTATATGAAGTGTTCACTCGTACCAGCCATTGATATTATTGATAATATTTATTGAGTACTTACTGTAAGCCAAGCAAACTATAAAATGGTTTACATAATTTCCTATATTCTTTACAAAAACCCTACACGGAAGGTAATATGATCACATCTATTTTATAAATGGTGGCTCTGTATCACAGAGCAGTCCTATGCCATCTGAAGGCAAGGAAGCAATGGTATCAGTACAGAGCCAAGGTCTATCTGAATCCCAAACCTGCCCACTCAGTCCCTGGGCTGCTTTGTCTCCTAACACACACATATGCACACATACACTTTCTTACTCTTTACTCTTGCTCTAGTTTGGCAACAAGAATTCAGTGCAGTCTCAGAAAATCAGAGCTTGGCAAAGAAATGCCTGCTTACAGGGGCCCAACATTATACTTCCACAAGGCTGGGGAGCTCAGGGGAAGCCGGCCAAGGTGAGACGCTATCCTGACAGGTGTGACACGGTATTAGGCCACTTTTTCTAAATAGCGTTAAACCTGTGGTTAATAAGCAATCTCTGCTGTAGTACAGTGATATCTTGATTACAGAGTTCTTGGTAAATAACATTCCTTTAACAAGAAATAGGGGTCTGTGTGTGTGTTTTCATTTTTTTTTTTGAAAGTGCACTTATTCTGCACGGAACTGCTTGTATTTGCAGCTACATGACACAAACACCTCAATATAAAGTTCTGTGTTCCTTGTCCACTTTAAGACAAGGAAGAATAATGCCAGGCTGAGTTATGAATGCAAATATGAAACAGAAGGTTGCTTAGAGCTGAGGAGCTGGCAGACACCGCGGGTTGGTCACAGGGAGGGAGGTGTGGGTGTGACAGCAGAGCAGAGAGATTTCCCAGAAGAGAGGGACACCTGGGGGCCCCAGCTCAGGCCCGCCCAGATCGTGTGGCTTGGGGCTGGGTAACTGCCCTCAGTACCAGCAGCCTCACCAACAATGAGAAGGAAAGGTATTTTATTTGGCTCAGAGCTTCGCATTCTTAGCTCCCAGGAAGTTGCATTAACCTCTCTCCTTTTACTGCCTTCTTCTCCTTGACCCTTCATACCCTCAGAGGTGGGATTCCCCAGGGCTCCCCCTTGGTATTTGTGTTTCTGTTCCCTCTCTCCTCTCCTTCACCACTCGCATGTCTGCCAGATCTCGCTCCACCTTCCTGCTGTACTTCTCCACGCAGACGTGCTGCCCAGACCTTCCACACTCAGGCCACGCGAACCCAAAGAGTTATTTCTCCCCTAAGTTACCTTCCAACTTGGACAGTTCTTTTGAAGAGAAAGCTCACCTCACAGACTTCAGACTCTGGAGTCATCTCAAGCTTGTCTTGGCTTCCTCTCCTATTAGTCACCAAAGGCACCAAATTCTGCTTCTTATCTAAGGTGGCTCTTTGGAAACTTCTTGGTTCAAAGGAGGAATGAAAATCCAAAGGTCTGTGACGACTGTGCCGGAGATTCCTTTGTGCTTAGCAATAACGCGACTGTTCCCTCAATATCGATTTGTTTAGTGGTGCTGGGGCTCAAACCCAGGGCCTTGCACGTGAGCCAAACCCTTTACCAATCAGGCACCCCCCCCCCCAAAGCCTTACTGTTTTAGGAATTAAAATTAGAGAATGGCACACATCTTCAATAGGCTAAGCCTGGGCAATTTTGCAACTTAGCGAGACCCATTTAAAAAAAGAAAGGTTATGGCCAGGCATGGTGGTGAATGCCTGTAATTCCAGCACTCAGGAGGCTGACGCAGGATGATTCTGAGTTCAAGGACATCATGGGCTACATAGAGAGTTCAAGGCCAGCCTGGACTATCTATCGAGATTCTCTCAAAAAACCATAAAGGGAAGAAAGAAAGGTCTAGGGTAGTTTAGTGCAAAGGCCCTGGTTTCAATCCCCAGTATATATACATCCCCACTGAAATTAAAGCTATTTCTGTTCCCTAACCTTAGTCACCCTGATATTGTATAGTCAGCTGGGCCTCATCTTGTCTTCCAGTGTCGGCTTCCTTATCTCCCTGTGCTCTTTGCCTTATCTCCTCAAACATTTATCGCTATGGCCCAACCAGCAGGCAGAGCTCCTCTCCAAGCCCCAGCCCTCCCCCTCCGCTAGGGCATTTTCCTAGCGATTATTACATAAAACCTCCCTACTGAATTATGGACTCTTGAGCACAAATACTGACCCCTTCCGTGTGCTCCCCTTGATTAGTCTTGATTTAGTTATTGGGAAGAGGTTGAGAGACGATTTTGCTCCGCCAACATCATGTTTTCTATTTTTACCTTGGGGCCTATGTTTATCACTTTGGAACCGGAGAGCTCCATAGATATTTTAGCCCTAAACTTTTTCATCAATGTAAGATGGGGACACTAGGCTGGGTTTCAGGATCTCAAGTATGAAGACTGGGAACTTCCGCTCAAAGTAGAAGCGCCTGGGTTTCCAAATCACCACCCCAAACACCTCAGTCTCCTCCACACAGGAGAAATCTGTTGACTGACGCCAACACAGCAAAATGTAGCATGACAGGGGAGAAGTCTGGGCTTCCGAGTCAAACTAGGTTTGGGTTGTGGCCTGCGCATTTGTTAACTGCACCGATTTTGGTTAAATAAAAGAAAGCCTCTTGGGCTGATTCCTCATCTGCAAAATGTGGGGAGGCATCTCCACTTCAGGGAGACATGGCACGTGCACGAAGGGACTGGAACACAATGAGTGGGGGCCGCTGGCTAAAATAGCATGTTATAAATTTGCAGATTTGCCGGGCGTGGTGGTGCATGCTTGTGATCCCAGCACTGGGAAGGCTGTGGCAGGAGGATCGCTGTGAGTTCGAGGCCAGCCTAGGCTACATCGTGAGTTCAGGGCCAGCCTGAACTACAAAGGGAGACCCTGCCTCAAAAAAACCCCCACAAATTTGCAGATTTGATTTTTTTAAATAATATTTCGGTTTTTGCATAGATCTCCTTTCTAAACTGAGTAAATGCATCATGCATTTCTTTTTTCTTTTCCCTTTACAGCACTGTACTTATTTGGGCAGTTATAAAGCATCTATATATATTTTAATCAAAAACGAAGTATTTTGGAAGGTGAATTCTTAGAGCTTCCGTGTGGCTAAGCTGGGTAACAGAGATAAGCTTCGGACTCTGCTGAGCTCACTGTTTTATCTGGATGAAAAGCCGCGGCCTGCACTTGTCCACTCCAGAGCTGGGCTGAGTCCTCCAGCAGCCCCGGCCGGCCTAGACCTCTCCCGTTTTCCTGCCGCCGCGCCTTTCTTTCCCCTCGGTTCCGAGTCGGGGCGGACGCGGGGCCTGTGCAGGGGTCCCGGAAGGGAAGAAGGCAGTGCGGGTTCACGTAACGGTCCCGAGAGGGCTAAAGGAAGGGCCGGCGCCGCCGCCGAAGCTCACAGACCGGAAGAAGGGCGCTTAACGTCCCAAGCGCGCCGGTCGGCTTTGGGGCCCCTCGCTGCTGGGGGACCCGGCCCCACACCCCGCCGGCGGCTCTCCGGGACGCTGTTCTGGGGTCGCCTCCCCCCGGCAGCTCCTAGGGAGGCTCGGCACCTTCCCAGTCCCGCGTGGGCTCCGGGCCGGGCACCAGGGCGCAGGGCTTCCCCTCCGAGGCCCGCAGATCAGGGTCTACCGCACCGCCCGGCCCA